TCTACATTAAATTGCAACTGCTTCTTTTATTATATATCGTTATTAAATTACTAATAAATATAAATAGTATTGTTGCATATTTTACAATGTATTTACATAATATAAAAAAACTTTTTTAAATTTCTAGGTTGTCCATATTCAAAAGCTCAGTCTCTGCAGCCATCTAGTGGCCGCTAAATAGCACCAGTACAAAAAAAAAAAAAACAAGAAACAAGAAAGAGGGAAACGTCAGTACTTTGGCGCAAACTACGTGATGGGCGTGGCGTGGTCATTCTGTCTTCCTATTGGTCTAAATCCAGGAAGCGTTTCGTCCGTGTCAGTTTCCGCTGTTATTTGAAACAATAAGCAGACTCGAGTTTGTCGTTTCATAAAATGATGACGGTTTGATAGGATAGAAATTAATTAACACTAATCATCGGTGCTTTAAGGTATGGTGTAACTTACTATTGCTTGAGACATTTTAAGTAATTTAAATTCAAGCCGCGTTTGTAGTCACTGTTTGCCCTGCAGCGTTACTGCTTATATTTTGTGTGTACACTGGAAAATACCATGTTTTTGGACATTTTACCATTTGAATACCATGTTTCGCCATGCTACTTCAATTTACGGTTTTTTCTTTTTTAGAACAGTAACGTTAGTACCTTATTTAGCTTCGTAGAGAACCATAGTATTAGTTAGTCGATACACAAATTGACTAACCTGCCAATTGCATGTGACTTTAATCAATGCATGCCTGTAAATGCATGTTAAATACATTACATGGAAGTATACAATGCTTACATGCATCTGTTTTCTTACAGGCTCTCTGATCAGGATGGAGCAGGTGAGCCCTCTCGCTTTCCATCATGTGGAAGTGTTTCTTATTGTTCTTTCAGATAGGAGGGATAGTAATCTGATCTGTGTCGGTTCCCTCCACCTGCTGTGGATGGATAGAGGGGGTTTGCAGAGCTGATCTGGTCAGAGGAAAGGAGGAAGACTTGATAAGATGCTTAAAATAGTGTTGCAGCTCATAGATTATGTGTAACTGGAATAGATAAAGATGGAAAGAAAAGCTTTGACTGCTGCACTGCAGTCCAGAGACAAAACATATGTGTTTTTGTGGAGCTACAGTCAGTTTCAGGTTGTAAAATACTTTTGCAGTTATTTCTGATGTTTCTGCATGCATTGGCTTCTAGATGAGATTGCAGGTAATAATGCATGTGATTATAATGTGTTTCATGCTCTTGCAGCAGGAGCAGAGAGAGTGGGACGCTGTTAACAGGTTGCTGCAGCATCATGGGTTCAAACCTGTCAACTTTGCAGATCCAACTGAGAACAAGAACCTTGCGGGTAATGCATCTTTTATTTTCTTTCAAATCTTTTACAAATAGTTTTTCAATCAATTAAAGAAATTATTCTCAAGCAACTGAAAGTCATTGGTCAGACTTAACAGCGTTTTTTTTTTGAGGACCTTTATTTTTATATTATAGGCTACCGAATTTTTTATTTTTTTGTAAATCATTTGTAAACCACGTTCTATATTTCTTATTATCATTTTTAATGTTATTTTATTTTTTATTATTGTTATTAATTAATATATTACATGTGATTTATTTTTGGGAACTTTTATTTATGTTTAAAAAAATTTTTTTTTTTAAATGTCTATGTATATCAGTCATCATTTTGGTTAAGTAATAATAATTTTTGGTATTCAGTATTGACCAATATTTCTATGTCCATGCATTTATACTGATGTTGTTTGTTGTCTGTAGAGTTGGTTCTGTTGGAGCGTAAGTCTGCATCTGATGTACGGCTGATGTTGAAGACTATGCTGTCAGATTCTGAAAGGAGACAAGGTCTTATTCAAGAGCTCATTCAGTCCAACAGCCAACTAAAGTGAGTCTAGCTTTCATCGATTCACAGTTAATATGCTTTAATACACCTCTAATGCTGCAGAGGTCTTTATTATATTCATATCTTGGGGTTATGACATAAAATTAGGTTCAGTACAGTAAATTTCACAAGATTGAAAAGAGGGTCATACCTCTTCCAAAAACTATAAAAAATAATATATAAAAATTATATTTTGCATAAAGAAAATAAAATTAATTAATTAAAAAAAATTTTTTTTTTATTGTGAAATTGTGTTTATGACATTTAAAGGTCTAATTCTCATTATTGTTGACCAATTATGTATTTAAAAAAAAAACATACCAAAGAGTAAAATAATAAAACATTTTGGTTATTGATCATAACTCTAAGATAATTAAGATAATTAATATTTAAAAAAAGTTATATGAAAAATATACATACTATACAATTTATAAAGATTTATACATTATGGTTGTACTAAAAATCATTTTTGTTGATTCTAATTTTTAAAAAGTTATTTAAATCATTCCCTGATCACATTTCACCCCAAAATCAAATGAAATAAATAAGGTATTATATTATAGAAATTAGAAATAGATCATTTTTAATGAAAATTTTCATTACCGTAATGCAAAAATAAATAAACATGCTTTAAAACATCATTTAATATGTTGTATTGACTTTAAATTGTTGATTGTTATTTAAAAAATGATGAACCAACAAAGTGATTTGTGTTATTATATCACAGTTTTTTATGTTCTGCGGTAATGAGAATCAGAAGAAAATGTGCTTAAATTCATGAAAGTCCTAAAGGTCTTAAAAGTAGACTTTGTTTTCTTTATACAAAATATATCTCATTTTGGGGTGGAATGTGTCTCTCATTATTGGCATTTCAGCGAAGATATTCAAATGACTCTTTAATATTTGAATTGTTTAGCACTTGTGGTATCTCCAGGGACGCCTCCTGGACATGTTGCTTCTGTCAGCACACGCTCAATAATGTAAACCCCTCATTTGCGGCAGTGGTGCTGCCCATCTGCTGTAGTGTAACATAATGCCAGATGAGTGGAAGGAGATGAGATCAGCTGACAGGACAGACGTGTTCCCTGCTCATTCCACAGCACAGCTAATCCAAGCAAATAGGAAGTGCAAAAACTTGCATACAGCTCATAAAGATGCCTGTATCATTTTCAGAGAGGACGTGCAGCAGCATCAGACGCGAGCCGCCCGTCAGTCTCAGAGGGCTGCCGAGCTGGAGGGCATCCTGGATGGGGTGAAGGTCAAAGTTCAAGACCTAGAGGACTCGTACATTGGTAAAGCGGCCCAACAGCACAGCCAGTTCCAACAACTGCAGCAGGAAAAGAGAGATGCTGAGGTATTCAGGCATTAAATGCATTAAATTATTTGCTTTAGATATCAGTATCAGTAATATTGGTTGTGTATTTGCAGAAGCGCTGTCAGTCTCTGGAGCAGAAGCTGTCTCAGGAGAAGGAGCAGGTGTCTCAGCTGCAGAAGAAGCTCCAGTACGCCGTGCGGGAGGAGGAGAGACGTGTGGCCCGACAGAACCAGGCCTTCCAACAGATCCACCGCAGATCAGCCCG